CCGATGCTCTAACACCACTGAGCCGCTGCCGGCCAGGGCATGGGAGCCGTCTTTAGGAGAGACCAGGAATCCGTCCCAACTAGGGACCAGGGCCATGTCTTCATTTGATGGGCAAAAAAAAGTCATGGTATAAAGGTACAGAATCCTTGAAGGAGAAAGGACAAAATTCTCTAAGAAGTAGAGAAGGGGAGAATTACGGAAGGAGGAGACCGAGAACACCAAGATGTCATTTTTGCCTCCAGTTAACCCCGTACTTATACCTGTCTTTTGTTATACTTGGCTGCCTCCATGCCATTTGCCTCTTCAAAGGACCATGGCCCATTCTAATTCATGTGAATTAGGAAGCTTTTGAAATGTTCTTACATTATGAAGGGACATCACTTGCTGATTTATTTATCAAGAAACTGAGGGCCAAGAACATAATATCTTGGTGATTATTTGAATTGAAGTGAGCTGAATTTCTTCTTAAGACCACACATGAAAAAAATGTTCCAACAGATGGAAAGATCAATTGTTGAAGAGTCAGACCCTGACCACGGACAGGCGGTAACCTGAAAGCCTGGCTGTGTTGTGATGGTTGACCTTTGATATGTCGGAATCGAGCTCAGCAGCTCTTTGATGGGGACTCCACCTCCTTCGGACGAGTAAAGGCCAGCATGGTGGACTGCCTGGGATGCAAGGTCTTCTTTCCCTTTGATTGCGGAGATTCGAAGTTCAGGCTCTGATCGGCTCTCAGTGCATCCCTGCCATATTTTCTGCAAGTGATGAAGCCCAGCGCATGTCACTGACTGTAGAATTCTGCAGTTGTTCTGATTTATTATATACTTGCTTGGACCCAACTTTAAATTAGATTCGATGTGATTTAATGGTTTCCACATGTCTTCTTGGTCATAGACTCGCACAGCTGTATTTCAAGAACGAGGACTGAGGGTTGTAAACTTTTGTTGCTTGCCACTGCGTGTCATTCCTAAATTTTATAGGTGAAGGGCAAGCGGTGCAAATAAGACAGTGCAAGCAATGGGTGTTCCATGTGAAAGGAATACCGTCTGACTTTGAAACGAGGCTGAAATCAGTGGGTTGTACTCATGTTAGAATAAGGGTAAGTGTTGTAATGGCAATAAGAATCCCTTTGGACTGAGGCATGAGCCTAACAAAAGAGGTTCAGTTTTTTATTGATTAGAGTTAGGCCCACCTGGAAAACAACTGGTATACACACTAGTTCAGTGAAAATGGATGATGAGGACAGAAGAATTGAAATGGGTTAACAAGGAGAGAAATACTAAGGCATAAGGCAAGAGCCTGCTCACAGAGTAGCCTTCCTGATCCTCTGATACTTAGTTTGATGAGCATTTTCCCATTAGGTTGGACAGGGACCTCATTTTTCTCCAACTCCTCTCCTGGTTTAAAGGTTCTGTTTATTCCTTTGCTGCTTCTACACTGTTTTGTATTTAGAAAAGACAGCATACTAATCTGTGTTTTATTACTACCTAGATTGATAGGATTTCTTTTCATTCTTATTTAATCTTGCTTTCCAGGATGTTTTTTTAAAGATAATTATTACTATGACTCTGAGGTTACAGCATTTTTCTTTTCTTTCTCTTTAATTCCAGGCACAACATTTACTGTGAAAGGTCACGTGCTTCTGTTTTTTCTATCTGAAGTGTCTTTGGCAACTTAGTAAATTATAGCCATCAGTAGAATTGTAAAGGTAAAATGAATATCAAAACACTGAGCAAGAATGTGCCTACTGATACAAATTAGTTATATTTCAGAGTTCAAATAAAAACATAAAGTTAACTAAGTCAGGCCCTTATATTCATTTAGGAAATTATGCATTTCAGTGCATTATACACTTCATCTGCCTCATCTTCCTTCTTCATGTAGGTGTGCAGGCTTATGGGCCTTTGAGGGAATACATTTACATAAAAGAGAGAGAGAGAGAGAGAGAGAGAGAGAGAGAGAGAGAGAGAGAGAAGGAAGAGAGGCTATGGGAGGGAAAAGAGAGAAGGGGAATAGATTAAAGATAAATGGGAGATGGGGCAGTACTATGTACCTTTGGGACTTGTACTTATACCTGGAATTATATAACTTGAAAGGAGATGGGCTAAGATTGAGTTACACTCAGCCTGAATACAGCAGATGAGCCTAGATTGTTTTGTACAATCCCATTCACTCATTTACTCACTGTTCATTCATTTGTCCGTTCATTCATCAAACAGCTAATGGAACACTTACTGGATTTCCTCGGGGAACCCAAGATCTGGGGGGAGGAAATAGATAAATTATAATACAACTCGGCAAGTGCTAGAGTGGAAGAACGACCGATATTCTGTGGGCATCCAGAGGAAGGAGCGTTGTTCTCCCTCTGCTTTTGCAGCCTCTGACAAGCTACATTTATAATTTATAAACGAGTCCGAACTTTTGGATACACTTTGTGTATATATATTTAAACAAAAGTGAATAATTTATAGATTTTTGGAGTTGTTTGCAGCTTGATTCCTGACCTTAGTAAATGGAAGCAACATGAACTTGGTTTCTAATAACTTTTGCCAGGAAACAAAGTTCATGGAAGACTTTCAGATCAAAGCAACAACTTGACAAATAACAGTCTAGAAGGGAGTCGACATCACTAAACCAAATGGATCATCCGAAAGCAGTGCTGGCCAACAAAAAAGACAATGTGAGCCGCATATGCAATTTAAAAAAGCAGTTGAAATTAACTTTAATGCTCTATTGAACCCATTATATCTAAAACATAATTTCAACACCATTAATATAAAAAATTAGTACTTTTTATGTTTTTAAATTTTCATTAATTAAAATAAAATATTTAGTTCCTCAGTTTCAATGCTCAGTAGCCACATGAGGCTAGTTAGTGGCTACTGTGTTAGACAGCACAGGTTTTTTATGATTTTAAATGATTACAAAATTAAACTCAAGTATCACATAGGGAGCTTTTATAAGAATGTAATGTTATATGTTAGCTTCTTTTGAAAAAAGAAACACACTCTTTTTTGCCCCCCAGAAATCCATATCAACAGTGAGTTAGACAAATAGTCTCACTAAGATATGAATTACTAGTTAACATTTATTTTTAATTCTTAGATAACAACTAACTACTATAAGCAGAAAGGTAACTATTTAAAGATACTTTGGGAAGAGAAGAGTTTTAGTTCCAATAATAATTTATAATCCACAAGATTATAATATAATCTGTGACCGAAAATGTGAAATTCAGGGCAGAATACTCATTTTTATTGTAAAATACTCATTTCCACAGCTGGGAAAAAAATGAATAAGTGACACAAACCGCTCCTAAGGGAGGTGTAAGCACAGCCAGGGCGGGTTTCTGACATGTGTGGGTCAAAATGTTTCCTTGTGAGTTGACATTCCCCCATATTCTGGCTGCTTTGAGACTTTATGGTAGTTCTTCCATAAAAGTCAAAGAGTTATTTTTTTAGAATAAGATATAAAAAAGTTCCAGGAATATAAGGAATGCCTTTCGTTTGTAATTATATTTGTGAAATTCTCTGTGGAGTTACAGCTGTGTCTGCTCACCACACTCTTTCCTTCGGGTGGTAACCAATATTAAATATCATGTTTATGAGGTTCAGGGTTTCAAAGAGGTGCTTTCTGTTCAGGAGAATAAGGTTGGTTTCAATACTTAAAGCAGCCCGGCTGGTGTGGCTCAGTGGTTGAGCACCAACCCGTGAACTAGGAGGTCGCAGTTCGATTCCCTGTCAGGGCACATCCCCGGGTTTCGGGCTCCATCTCCAGTGGGGTGTGCAGGAGGTAGCTGATCAATGATTCTTTCTTATCATTGATGTTTCTATCTCTTTCTCCCTCTCCCTTCCTCTCTGAAACCAATAAAAATATTTTTTTAAAAAGAAAAAGTAAATAAAACTCAGAGATCATGTGTTAGTAGGAAAAATGAAGCAGAGTGAAAACAATGACACAGAGGATGTATTTTAGATAAGGTGGTCATGGGAGGCTTCTGTGATAGGTAACATTTGAGCAAAAACTTGGGGGATGGGAGATATACTAGTATGTTTGTTTGCTGGTAGGAAGGATGCAGTAAAGATGAATGGTTTGGTGCTGGAGTAGAGAGAGCAGACAGCCACAGGGGCCATGTCCTTGATTAGACACAGGTGAGTAGTCAGCCTTACCTGGGAGCACATATGATTCCTTCAGGTGAAGGCAGGGCATGTGGCTGCTATGCAAGTAGGTTCATAGCAGCAGGAGTTTATGAAAGTTCTCTTCTGATTGCTTCCATTTCCTCAGGAAAATAGAAGCAAGGTCATGAAATAAGAGTGAGGAGATAGAAGAAAAGAGGTGATATGTTAAATAGTCATGAAAGAGAATTGGAGTGCATCACATTTAGCTAAAAATATATAACAGAAGAGATCAGGTGTGTTTAGGGTGGTATGGCTGTAGGCATGCTCAGCAAAATAAGTCGGACTGAAAAAGTAATGAACCATATGATTTTACTAATATGAGGGATATAATGCTGAAAGCAACAAAGGAACAAACAAGACCAAGGAAAACTCATAGACACAGACAAAAGGAAGGGGGCTGGGAAGTAAAAGGAGTCAAATACATATATGGTGACGGAAGAAGATTTGACTTTGGGTGGTAAACAATGCAATGTATAGATGATGTATTATAGAATTATACACAAACATATAATTTTATTATTCAATGTCACCTCAATAAATTCAATACAAATATATAATAGTTCCATTATTTTGTGTATTTTGGGTGAATTTAGAATTTATTTGTAAGTGCAGTTTCAGTTTATTTTTCATGTTCACATCACTTTATATCTTTTCTGTTTTCTCATATACAAAGTGGTTAATCTCATAGCAAACTGACAGAAAATCAAAGTGAAGAGAGCTTGTTTAGTTCTAGAGCTCCTAATGCCACCTGTCATAACTAAAACACCCCTTTCTTTTCTGCTTCTGAAATAATTGCATTTTTTTTTCCTCTCTGCTTCTCAACAGGGTGGTGGTGATTGTCCGGAAATGAGTATTGGAGCTATAAAAATTGCCTTGGAAATTTCTCTTCCTGGTTCTTTCATCTATGTTTTCACTGATGCACGGTCCAAGGATTATCGGCTCACTCATGAGGTTCTGCAGCTTATCCAACAGAAACAGTCACAGGTGAGTGGGAAGCAACCCCTGGATGTTCCATCTGAATACAGCTGTAAGGAATACAGCATGTGAGAGCGCGTCTCTCTTCTTTGACCATACTGTGTGTGCCAGTGTCAATAATTACAACTGTTAATCCATGTTTCTGTACTCCAATATGTATGTATCATTTAATTTACATGTATAAGTGGATATGTGACATTTGTACAAAGTATATGAATGTCTTGTTGTTTTTATACAGAGAAGAAATGACTTGGGGATTAATTAAGATACTTGTTACCATTGTGTCCTTATAACTGAGAAAAACATAGACCAGCACAAAAGGCCTTTATTTCAATTGTCATCTCCTCTGTGGAATCCTGTCAGAGTTAGAGTTACTAGTTGTATCAGTTAGCTACTGCTGTGTAACAAGCATTTCTCACTATCGGTAGCTTAAAACAACAAGCATTTATTTCTCACATGTTAGCAGAGCTCAGGTGAGCTTGGCTAGACTTGCCCACTTGTATGTCTGGGGATAGTTTGAGTTTGGCTTATATAGGCTTATATCTGGGGTAACTTAACTCTGCCTCACCAGCTTCTCATTCTCTTATCTAAGACCAGTAAGCAAGCTGATATAGGTATGCTCTTCTCATGGACAAGACAGAAACACTAGAAATCAAGTAGAAATACCTAAGGCTTCTTGAGTGTAGGCTCAAAACTGATAGAATGTCCCTTTTGCCTGATGGTACTGGCCAAAGCAAGTCACATGCCTGTTTTGATACAAGGATGACAAAATAAGCTTCGTCTGTTTAGTAAGAAGAACTTTGCCAAGTGTATGGATATAGGGAGGAATATATAAATATATGTGTTATATATTCCACTTGTTTAGTAGTATGTTAACGCATAAGAGGTGCTCAATAAATGTATATTGATTTCTGAAAACCCTTTCAATTGTCTTCTTTTTTAAAAAAAATCAAAGGTGGTATTTGTGCTCACTGGAGATTGCGATGATCGAAGCCATATTGGATACAAAGTCTATGAAGAAATTGCCTCCACAAGTTCTGGTCAAGTGTTCCACCTGGACAAAAAGCAGGTTAATGAGGTGAGTGTCATAAAGCGGGTCTACTTAATTACAAGGTACTTTACCAACATCAGCTAGGCCAACCTGATTGTGACAGATTTGATTCCAAAAACAATTTGAACAAAAAGGTTTTATTTTCCTAGGCTACAGGTCAATAAAGGCATTAAACCAATGCGGAGATTTATCTAGTATTAATTTCTAAGTTGTATTATACTATACTGTCAACTTATTTAGATTTAAGCATAAGTGTATTTAAAATGTACTTAGTGGGATTTGAACATTTTTGTAGTTCTTTTTGATTCCAAAGGTCAATTCATATTTCTGATGCACAGTTTTTGGATAACTGGTAAAATGAGGCTTTCCTGTTTACTGAAAAAAGTTGGTTATTGAGCAAAATTCTAAAGAAGTTTGATCTCTAAGATTAAAAGTGAAAACTGTAACTACTATCTAGTCTTCTAAAAACATTTTTGGTAATAAAATCTGTAACTTCCATATGATGGAAATCTTGGTATTTTCTTAAAAAAAGTGTTAGAGATATGTCTAATTGTCCTAATTTTTTCCCTTTTTGTCACTTTTCCTTTGCTTCGCTGTGATAAAAAAAAGTATGTATTTGGCTCCCCCTTAAGTTTCTAGGAACATGGCACTGTAAAGATAAGGTTTTATGTAGGCATAACTCACAATTGATTGATATGGTCACTGTATCTACATTCATTCTATTAACTTCATGGCAGACTCCTTTGTGCTCTAATGAAATGGCTCAGTAGTCCACTTATAGCTAAAGACTTCTTATCACATCATGATGAGACACTGCAAATTTCTAGAATAAACAATCTAGCAAAAAATATTTTTTAATCAACAGATAATATACAAACCTGGAAGGTTACCTTAGTCTAAATTTTTTTTCTTTCTTGGAAGAAACAGCCTCAGAGAGGGTTATGGCTTGAGTCCCTACCGTGTCCACTGTAGAGATCAGAAATGCCGGGCAGGGTCTGACAGCTCCTGTGGGACGGCCCTGGCAGTGATTTGTATAAACATTTGCATGAGAATTTGGGAGCCTGGGAAGAAGAGAGTTGGGGAAGAGCACCGGACTCTCTCAGGAACTGTTTCCTGTCCCGTCCCACAGAGTGTGACCCACCCTAAGGAGGGAAAGGACACTGGTTGCAGTTGTTTTTCATCTCAGCTTGTGCAAGCCCCTGCGGTACAGTCCATATTGTGAGGCCAGAGTAGGGTGTAAGGGAGGAAGAGTGCCATTCTGTCTCCCATCAGGGAGGACCACACCCACTTGGGGTGTTGTGAGGCTCTTAGTTGCAGGCGGCAGTGGTGTTCAGCACAGACACGTGGGAGTTGGTGCCAGCAGAGGATGCCACGCCCAGTGGACCTGGTGGTTCCCAGCAGAGATACCAGGGAAGAGAAGTGGTGGAAAGAGACATGGCCAGCGCCAGGGCGTTTGGAAGAATAGTTGTTGGAATCTGTGAGCAGTCAAGCACAGTTGGGAGATTCCCAGTATAAATTGGGTGTAACTTTAAGGGAGAACCATAGACTTTATTAGGGTCCCGTAGCTGGAAAACACCATGGTATATTCTGTGAATATAACTACACTTATATCCATATACCTAGGGAGATTGACTTGCACAAAATTGAAAATATTGTTGTTGCCTTAAACAGAGAAAATGCCTTATTTATTAAATAAGTGGCCCAGTGCACAATTTTTATAGACCTAATAATTTTTAACCATTTCCAAGAATAACAGTTTATAAAAACGTGGTATATATTGCAAAAAAAACTTTATAGATGTATTAGAGAAATTTAACCCACTAGTTTGTTAAATAGTTTCTCTCCCGCATCCATAACTGGCATTCTGATCTTTAAACTTAGCTTAGGCAGAATAGGACTAGAGAGAAGCATTGCTAAAATTGCCCATTTTTATATAGTGGAGCTTGATGCCAGTGCGGATGGGCTGTTAATTTATCTACCAATCATAGCCATTCCAACGCCCTTGCCAATTGGTTCAGGAGAGATGATCTCATCTACTTTAGCCCACTGGGACTCAAGGGGAATTTAGCTAAGGGTGTCTTGCACAAGTTCTCGTCTTCAGATATTGTCCCACATGGATATGAATCCCAGATCTGATGCAGGCGTCTCCATCCAAGTCAGGCATGAGACAAATACAAGGGGGAATAGAGAGCTAAGACCATCCAAAACCTTTGGATTAAGTCAGCATTTGAACCCGTCCTACTGCTGTCTCCAAAATTAAGGAAATGGTCTTTTTGCTTAAGCCAGTTAGAGTTGAGCATTCAGTAACCCAAAGATAAATGCATCCTAACTGATAACATTCTATATTTCTTTGTGACATGGTCTCTCTAAGCCCCAGTTTCCTTGTTTGTAAAATGGGAATAATAGAAGTATCCATTTTAGAAAGTTCTAAGATTAAATAAGATAATGCATGTGAAATGTTCCACCCGGGGACTGGTGCAGGGTAAGTGGCTAATAAATGTTAACTAGTATTATTACAGTCGTTTTAATGTTATTTTGCTTTCACATGGGGAAAATGGGCCCGTGTTCGTTAGAAACCAGATGGCTGGCTGGTGCTGGGAAATAAATTTGAGTGGGAGAGTCTGGGAAGATGCTGGAGAGATGGTTTCTTTTTTCTTGTGAGTGAGGAAAAGGTATTACAGAGGGGTTACTGGAACTGTATAAACCAGTATGTTCCTACAGAAAGCTACCATGGTGAAAGATTTTGCTAAGGAAAAGCTGAGTGACAGTGCTAAAAATGGATTTTCAAAGCTTGTAGTGTATAATTTAGCCATTTTTCTTCTCTCATTGTTCCAAATATTCCTATTATATCAACGTTATAAACTCTAGGGAAACTAGATGCTATTGAGGTATCTGCATATTTAATAGACACTGAACTTAAGGGAAGCCACACACATACTGAGTCCTTTCATTTTATTCAAGAGCAATTTTTCATAATACTGGAGAGAATTGTGTTTTCCCCTCTTAACCTAGTTCATCAATTTCCCAACCTCTAGTGAGGTATATTTTTTTAATCAACTCTCTTGAGCTAACTTAAAGTTTTTCCTGTCTGTTTTTTTTTCTCTTTTAAATAATGATTAAGTAGAAGATCTATGTATCTTTCATCTCTATTTAACATAAAAGGGAAACCAAAGTAAAGAAATTAGTTGGCCAAGCGTGAGTAGTCTATAAATCATTGTACAGTATTACATTTTAGAAACACAAGTTAAGACTCATCTCAAGGATGTACTTAAACAGTTCACCTTTGAAGATGAAAACGGAACTAAACAGTCTTACTCCTCCATTTCTTTGTAAATTGGGTGATTGTCAGTGGATCTCATTAATGCTTCCTTTGGACATTAAAAGTCCAAGTTTGGAATCTCAGAGTTACTCACAGATGTTATATTCTTGGGGAAAAGAAAGTAACACAAAGCTCCGTTATTGACTAAGTCTTCATCGCTTCTCATTTCCTGGTGACTTCCATTCCCCCAATCCAACTGGAAGGTGAAAGAAAGACCAAGGAGCCCTGTTGAGGGATTCCATAAAGGTCTGCTTCCCAGAGAGCCTGATGGAGAAGCGTAGAGAACAAATCTGGAGAAACAACATGGAAATACCCAACCCAAGCAGCATGTGTAGAAGTGAAGACCCCAGACTCTGGGGCCATGGCTCCCATTCCAGCCGCATGACCTTAGTCAGGTTACTTGTTTTTCTGTCTCAGTTTCCTCATCTGTAAAATGGGGAGGAGGGATAGTAACTACTTCATATGGTTGTTGTGTTTAGAACATATCAGTGAGTATGAACTGCCATCACTTTTATTTAGTGATACATGCTAGTCAAAAGATTCCAGCCATGTTTTTAGAATTTCCCCCTAAAACAAGGAAATATGTATTTAGTGTCCCTTTCTGATGAGATGGCCAAAGACTGCATGCTGTAATAGGAGACGCTGGGGCTTTAGCATCAGGGAGACCTGGGTTTGAATGACCTCTTTGTCATTAGCTAGTTGAATAACTTTACTCAACGTTATTTAACTTCTCTGCAACTGTTTCTTTATGTGAAAAAAAGTGTATTAGTTGACTCATAGGACTGTTGTGAAGATTAAATAAAGAATACTAGTAGGTGTAGTAAACTCTTACAGTCCGGGGAGTATGGAAATCACCCAGCCTGGAGTCTCTTAGAACAGGAATGGCTCATCTCCCAAGGAGGACACAGATAGTTCTGCATGGAGTGCAGGCCCTGTGAAAGGCTCAGAAGGAGAGGAGTATTTTGTGGCCCCCCTCCCCTTTAGAAATAAATGCCTAAGGGAGAATGGACTCAGAACTAATACTTTGTAAGATTCTCAAATTTTTATAATTTCCCATTTTCACATCACAGCAAAACCACTAAAAAGGAAAAAAAGTTTAAACTGCTTATTCTGAGATGATCATAATGATCCTAGTCATATGTAGGTAACCCGTACAGAATGCTTATTATGTTTCAGACACTAGGCTGAGCACATTCCTTGAATTCTTATAGGCCTATTGGCAATAAATAAGTTTTTTTTGTGTGTGTGTGTGTGTGTTTTTTGCAGAGCAAACTGTTTCTTTATTTAAAAAGACATCATATTTCTTTAGAACATTTAATAAACTTAAAATTAACTCATAAAGCCAAAACCTGTTTGGCTCAGTGGATAGAGCGTCGGCCTGCGGACTGAAAGGTCCCGGGTTCGATTCCGGTCAAGGGCATGTAACTGGGTTGCGGGCATATCCCCAGTAGGGGATGTGCAGGAGGCAGCTGATCGATGTTTCTCTCTCATCGATGTTTCTAACTCTCTATCTCTCTCCCTTCCTCTCTGTAAAAAATCAATAAAATATGTTTAAAAAAAATTAACTCATAAAAATTTGCTGTTCGTTTTTTTAAATTTTATTTTATTGTTTAAAGTATTAC